CCCCACCTCACCCCACTTTTAAAAATGGGATGCCAGTCTGTTGCAGGGTTAGCCCCAGTCTGAAATTCACCCAGTATCCACTTGTATATATGGGTGGAGGGAGGCACTGTTAGAGAAACATGCCATGTCCAAGACATAATACAATGCAATAGCTGAACTGTGAAACAATAACATCTCTATTTGCTGTAATTTTCTGCATGCACTGTGTGCCATTATTCCTACATGTAGCTCAGGTAACATCAAGTAACTGATAACCTCTCCAGCCAGACACAAAGAAACACAAAGACTCACCAGATGTAGAATCCATTGCCTCAATATGAATCTTTCTCCACATAATCTCAGCACACACCTTTCTGGTTTGTATCTAGTAAGAAATGGGAACTATCTTAACCTTTATAACAGCCTTGATCTCTCATGTTTCACAAAATACACAATTAAAAATAAGTCATCAGATTTTCAAAGTTTTAACCCTACTAGGGTGAGGTTGGACTAAGAAGCTAAGGTAAAGTCTGCATTGGGTCAAATGATCTACGCCGCCCAACGACTGTCACATTCTTATAAGAAACGATTTGGAAATACATGAGACAAGAAATATAAGTGATAAAAACCAACATTGTGGTGCATCTTGCGCCATTATCAAGGTTACATAATAAATGATAAAAAACGGTTTGTGATGAGGATAAGTTGAAGCAAATTTGCATAAAGAGTGCCAAGCTAATTACATGAATACTTAAGCATGAAGAGAATCAGACTGTACATTCAGTGCTGGTTTAAGATCTTGAATACACAGCATTTCATTAACAAGGCAGTCAAATTTGTTCATGCATTTCTAGATTACATTGAAGCATGATAAGAAATTTTGTTTAGAACAGCAGTGTTATGTTCTTCTTGACTGTCACATTAAGTGATACAATTTGAGTAATTCTACACCAGTCAGTCTGTTTCACAGAACTACACAATTAAACGAAAGTCATCAGATTTTTAAGAGTTTCCACCCTACAGGGGGGAGGTTTGACAATGATGGGATGGGATGCAAGTCATTTGCACAGTTAGCACCCAGGACCCTTTTGTACACCTAGGTGGAAAGAAATAGTGTGAGAGTATAGTGTCTTGTCCTAAAACAAAATGCAGAGACCCTAGCCATTGGCTCAACCGCTCAAGTGTGCTTAATGGTAGATTACTGTGTTCCTCCTCCCTCAAAAGAACACTCATCAACAAAGGTATGCCAGGCATTGCAGTTTTAAGGAATTTTTGTACACCCTACCCTGAAATACAGTTGGACTTCCCAAAAGCAACCAAGTGTCAATTTTTCCTTCTGAAAAACTACCCAATAAGGCAAACTGTTTTCTAACCATTAGGTAGAAATGAACATGAACTAATAAGGATTAGATTCCTAGTTTTAATTTTGACAGCCCTTTTATATTACAGGCAATTTAAACAGGTTAACAAGGGTAAAAATCACTAGACCTAGAATTTGAAGAGTCTGATGACGAAAATTAATGAAAATGATGCAACATGACATTTTGATGACTTTGTGTCATCATTGTCAAATGAATAAATTAAAAATAACTGCAAGCCATATTTAATAGAAATTAAGATGTGAGGAAGCAAATAATTAGTTAAGGTGACATGAAAGCATTCAAGTAAAAAGTTTTGAGCGATTGGAATCCGCTTGCACGTTCAGTTTCAGTCTTTTGTTCTTAATCCCAAAGTATATCAAAGATCAAACATTTGAGTTTGCCAAAGTATTTCTTTAAGAATTAGTTCTTAATTAAGTCATTGGGTGATAGACCATGCTTGTCAATGAAATGTTTTCTGATCACAGAATGTTCTTCTACGCATTGATGGAGGTGGTGGCAAGTGTATCCAATATGATTTGTATTGCACAAATCACATGTGAATTTGTATACTACACTTTGCTTATGTTTATCAGGGGAGGCTTTTCTTCCCTGACTCTCAGATGTTCAGCCATCTTTTTGCTTGTGAACACTGGCTGTAGTTGATTAATTTTCATTCCAAGGTCACCAAGTTGTCTGCAAACCACGTCAGCTGATTTCTGATCTTTAACTGGCAATGTAATCCAAAGGGGGATGTCAGATGGTGTTTGAACTGGGTCTGTAGGATGCTGGAGGCATTTGATAACTGTGTCTGTGAGCTTCTCTGGATATTTTAATCGTAAAAATATCCCTTTTAAGTTCTTAAGTTCTTGCAAAAAAAAGTCTTGTGTAGACGACAAGCATTTTGCATGGTCTAACAGTGACAGTGGCTTTGTACCAGCAATCAACATGGCTTTGGTAGTGCAGGAGCCCTTTATTTGTTTTCTTTGCCATCGATTCAGATGATTTCCACCCCAATGAATGGTAATCGATCATTGGTTGCTACTTCCATTGTAAATTGAATGGAGAGGGGGGGGGGGGGGG